ACAAAGTAAATCATCTTATTGGCATATTTCTTTAGACCAATCTCAGACATTGCGTTTCTTGACAATACTCATCTTATATCAACGGCTACCGTGAGTTTAAATTGAACTTGTAATGGTTGTTTTGTGGTCAGGATGGATACATCCGTCTTTGGAATGCACCTGACGGTCGGGAGGTGGATTCATTGAATTTATCTGCACATTTAAGGAACGTAGAAGCAAAGGATTTTCTGGCTTCTAGGTTGATTGTCGTCGGAAGTAATGTTCTTCTTGGTATTCGATCGTATGTGCGCATATACTTGATAATGCTCTCTCTCTGATTTCAAGGCATGATTGTATTCTATCCATTAATATTTCTCCCGATTTTACAAAGTTCGGAGAAGTTAGCAGAGTTGATTGTCCCTTGGACGAAAAATTTGTTGATTTATGTGTGATCAATCATCAGGTAGAAGAAAAACGTTTCAAGGTAGTGTGCATGACAGAACCGCTTTCTCGATTATTGTTTTGGATGGTATCTTACGACGCCGCATCACCAGCCAAATGGATTCAGGTTATATATCATGCTTTTTTTGACTTTTCATGTCCTTTATTTATTTATTCATGTGTCTTCTTTCAACTTAGGTCGAAGACTTTTTAGAGTTGCCGCCTGAGCTCAAAGAACAAAATGGTGAGCTTTCTCTTGTTTATTCGATTAGTGATCGGTTAATTAATTTTCTTATGGCATTTTCAGTCAACTTTTCATACGTAATTGAATGCATTTTAAAGATGAAAAGATGTATTTGCGAAATTTGCTCATTTTATCACCGTAATACTAAAATACTTGTATTCTTTGTGAATTTAACTATGAATGGTATCTGTTGAGAGGAAGAATAATACAGTCTAGCAGTGTTTAATCGACGTGAAATGTCAGCGCATTAAATGGTCATTTGAATGTTGGATCTGTAATTTTTGTTGTACTCTTGTTGTTTTTTTTCGGATATTCAAAGAGTTGGGTTTTCCCTCGTTTTCTGTGTTCTTCCTAATCGAGATTTCAGGCATCATTTCAAGGTAGTCTTTTTTTCCTAACTTTGAATTTTAATTGTGAGGTGTTTTGATAGAGAGAATTTTCTCATCGTCCTATCTGTTTTCATTTTGTTTTAAATTCGATTTTAAGAAGTAACTAAGCAAGTTGCTACTGGAGTATTCTTCTTAGTCAGTCTGGACGTAAACAAATCTTATAAAGCCCCCATGATTGACGAGTGACCAATTGGTCGCTTTCGTAAAAGATATGTAATCGTCTTCAATTTCTGTGTTTGGGGGAGTGGGTTGTAAGATGCAGGCAAGATGGTCGCTTCGCTCTTTTTTCAAATTTTCTTTAAGATCTCCATGCTCTATCATTAGATATTTCCATATCTGCACAATATCCTTTCTCCTTAGATCGTTACATTGTTTTTTTTCGTTCTTTAGGTAAATTCCCACGTCTGCAAATGCTATTAGACATGGGGAAGAATGCATTAGACGTCAACGGAGTTGACATATATGAAAAGAACAAGGAGCAGAATCACAAGCGTATTCGAGAGCGTCATCAACGTCACCAGGTGAAAAGGAAACGCAGGTTGTTGTCCAAAGAAGCTGGCGGTGAAGCTGTCGCCGGCGAGGGGGATGCCAATTCTGAAAAAGAAACCAGTGAAGCTTCTCCGGATTCTTAAATGAGCATTATATTGATAATGTACAGAACTTGTATTTCATAAATTACAGTCACTTAATGCGTTAACCATCTTTTGTGCCTTCAAGGTTCCTATTGTGGGACTTCGCTGAGTCGCTCATATCATTGCCATATCTGGTTAATTCCTATCATTCACGTCTAATGAGTGGTTTATGTTTTCTTTTAGCGAACAATCGTCAGCGATACCATGTCGTAGGAAATGTGAGTAATCATGTCATCCTATCCTTTGCCCACTCTGGGACTGAATATATGTGAATAACTCTATTTTGAAATAGGGGTGTGCGATAGACTTACCTCCACGTGGTGCACCCTGGGCAACGTATACTCATACGGCAAAAAGTCTATTAACCGGCAGTTGACTTCTCACTTCAAACTACCATCACCTCACTCTATGCCATATTCGAATATTTTCACAGTACTCACCTCACCTTTGTTCTACCTTTGTGTCTGTCTCTTTTACATCTTTGAAACACTCTTCTGTTCCCCCACCCCCCTCTCGACTTTCTTTCACTTTGATATTCCTTCCCCTCTGTGACGCTCGAAGTCAACTAAAGGGCTAATGATAACTATCGAAACTCCTGCCATTTGAAATTAATAAATATGACAGACTTAACCAATGCGGTTGACTTTTCTGGTCACTAGATGCGGACCTATGAGAGGCGAAATCTGTGAAAAAAGATCAATGCGCAAAAAACCGTAAAGGTACGTTGACATCGACGCGGATTCAATATCATTTGCTCTGTTTTTTTTTGTTTTTGCTATTCATATCTTAATAATCATTTTACACCACATAAACTTGAAAAAAGTGCCAAGATTTTAAAGAATAAGAACCCGGGTTCAAAGTTACTTCAATCATATTTATGACCAGTCTCAATCAACGGTTGATAATTAGTTCTACTATATTAGAAAGTAATTATTAGCCCATTGTAATAATCCGGTTAAAGTTTTGCCATATAGTATTTATACCATAAGGCAAATTAATCATCATTTTCAATTGACATACAAAAATTTGTCTCCAATTTTCTTGGTCAGGGTAGAAAGAAGGTGAAGACACGAACAATAGTTTTTCTACGCGTGCTATGTCTTAAGAGGGAGTGAGAGAGAGAGAGAGTGAGTGAGAGAGACATTACCAGACGTCTGACTTCTGGAACTTAATTTATGGCAATAATCAGACATGGTGCGATAATTTACCCTGGTAATTCTAAAACTCTAAATGAAATGAAACTCTTTGGGGAATTGAATATATATATATATGTATATATTGTGACCAGATAAGAGTCATTTTCTTTGGGTTTACTTCTCACAGAGGGGATTTAATACAGTTATGATGAGTAGACAATTAATTAACTAATCAACCAATCAAGGCGTGGAGTATTAGAAGTATGGAGACAAATAGGATTTCTTAAAAGTGCAGCAAATTAGGCAAGAGAATAAAGTTGAAAAGAAATATAGAACACTGAAAGTAGCTTAGTTTCAGCAGACTTCATTTTAGAAATAGCCGGATGGTAGAATTTGAACCCTCTATTGTGAAATGGAATGGAACATGGAGCACTTAATAAGTCAGATCACTGCAATAAGCTGATGCCATGTTAGCACTACCACTCTATTGTTATCGAAGGAATCGACAAAATGTGACTAACGGTGACCAGACAGCCAAAGTAAAACAATGCTAATGAGTTCTGTAAGCCTCAAGCACGAATTCACTGTATAAACAGCGGAACAGTTCGCACGATTGTAGCTTTAGGACATAAGAACACGAAGTGGAAGATTCAGCAAAGTCGTCTAAGGCTTACAAAGCTAGTCCAATGGTCAATTTTTGTAAGATTTCAGCTCGACACCACTTTTTGCTGAACGCTTTACAGCCGCTTGTATTCGGGTGGAATACGAGGGTAGAGAAGAACTGAAGTAAATTCAATAATTAGGAGGGGATTTTTTCAAAAAAATCGATGATTTAATCAAGGCAATTGTCTATCCATGGACGC